AAATTTTTGTTTCCAAATTCGAATTGTTAGATGTTTTAGCCAAGTAATATGATAAAAAGCTGTAGAAAAATCTACCTAGTGACCTTTGTTCTTCATCGAGCAAGGAAAACGAAAGAAGGGATCAGAAATAAATTTCTGAATTGAAGTTAATTTAATGTATTAAACTCATAATTTTCATATGAAATGAAATATCTGTTCTTAACAATTTGAAATCAATTATTAAATGATTCAAAAAAAGACGACAAGTGCGAGGGAGTCGGTTCGTCGGAAGACGACCAAGACAACAACAGTGGCGGAGAAACGGGCCAACCCGAAATAGATCCACGGGCCGAAGATAGGGAGCTGAAAAACCACCTCTTGAAAAAATACAGTGGCTATTTAAGCAGCCTCAAACAAGAACTCTCCAAGAAGAAAAAGAAAGGCAAACTCCCGAAAGACGCCCGACAAAAATTACTTAGCTGGTGGGAATTGCATTACAAATGGCCTTATCCTTCGGTATATTTATTTCTTTATTTATTAATTTTTTGCTTGTCATTAAAAAACTATACATTATTTAATTTATTTATATTTGGTGTAATAAGGAATCGGAGAAGGTGGCGTTGGCTGAATCGACCGGTTTGGATCAGAAGCAGATAAATAATTGGTTTATCAACCAAAGAAAAAGGCACTGGAAGCCGTCGGAGGATATGCAGTTTATGGTGATGGACGGGCTTCATCCGCAAAGTGGGGCCCTCTACATGGAAGGCCATTATATGGGCGAAGGCCCGTATAGGCTGGGCCCGTGATTGATTGATTCCGTATGCAATATGGATTATGGAATACTCCCGATGGAAGATCCGGTAAGATTTTGACAGCTCAAGCTTATAGTTGCTAGAGTCCGTCTTAATCGTAATCTCTGTGTTTATGAAATTATTATAAAACAGAAAATAGTTTTAATAATTCTGCTTATGTCTTTCGATGATTTAAGTGCTGTTTTTTTTTGATCTTTTCGGAAAATTATCTAAAATTTGTTGTTGCTTTCTTTTATTAAAAAAAATGTGTGAAATATGTAAACCTTTGTCTGGTATAATCTATTGTTTTGCTCTATTGTTGGTTCTAATATGCAAGAGACATGCACTAAAATAACACATTATTGATATATATAATAACCTAGGACCATGTCACAATAAAGTCACATTATAGAAATTAATTAAACCAAGGTTTGGTAGCAAATCTGCTAATTAAGTAATGAAGGTCTTAAAAAGTACGATAATTGTGCAGAAAAAGGCTAGTTTAACGATAATTGAAAATTAAAGTTTTAATAGTCATAATTTATTTAAGACGAAATTACACAGCAGGTTTACGAGCATATGTAAGCGGTAGGACAAACTCCTGTGCGGACGAACCGACAATTGCCATTTTCCTTTCTGTGGTAGAAAACGTTTGCAGCCACAGTTCCATCAATCGACTTATTTGCAAACTAGGTAGCAATCTTCATCCTTGCAGAGTAATCTCCACCTTTATTAATCGCAACGTTTGTGTTTATGAAATTATTATAAAACAGAAAATAGTTTTTATAATTCTGCTCATGTCTTTCGATGATTTAGTGCCGTTTTTTTTTTTTTTTCTTTTTTTTTTTTGATCTTTTCGGAAAATTATCTAAAATGTGTTGTTGCTATCTTTTATTTAAAAAAATGTGTGAAATGTGTAAACCTTTGTCTGATATAATCTATTGTTTTGCTCCATTGTTAGTTCTAATACACTAAAAAAAAATCTTTTGAGTGACAACACCTATTTTTCACATAGTTAGGCCAAAAATGTTGTCATTATGCTTGTCACTAACGGGGTGTCGCTAATGCTCTATAGTGACAATAAACAAGGATTAAGTGACAACAAAAAGAGCTATTAGTGACAATAAAATAAATATTGTCACTTAATGTGTACATAATGTATACATTAAGTGACAACTTTTGCATTTGTGATAATGTGCACTAAATTAACACATTATTGATATATATATAATAACCTAGGACCATGTCACAATAAAGTCACATTATAGAAATTAATTAAAAACCAAGGTTTGGTAGCAAATCTGCTAATTAAGTAATGAAGGTCTTAAAAAGTACGATAATTGTGCAGAAAAGGCTAGTTTAATGATAATCGAAAATTAAAATTCTGATAGTCATAATTTATTTAAGGAGAAATTAGAAAGCAGGTTTACGAGCATATGTAAGCGGTAGGACAAACTCCTGCGCGGAGGAACCGACGATTGCCGTTGTCCTTTCTGAGGTAGAATACGTTTGCAGCCACAGTTCCATCAATCGGCTTATTTGCAAACTAGGTAGTAATCTCCGTCCTTGCAGAGTAATCTCCACCTTTGTTAAGTAATAAATAGAGTTAATTAGGTATGTGTGTACATTAGAAAAACGCGACGACGGAAAAATAAAATTAAATGCTCGAAATGTGCACTTATATGATGATGTATTAGTACCTCGTTTTCGCTTCGTAAATTGAGCTTTTGTACGATGTACTTCTTGATAGATGAAACTGTAGTGCTTCCATCCCTATGAAACAAAACCAGATTAGTGTGCTGCAGGTGATTATTATTGTGATTAACTCATCACTAATCATATTATTATATAATAAAATATAATTAGAAGGGCACAATTATTTAATTATGTTTAATTTTAGCAAAAAATAAAAAAATAACTTACTGCAGCCTCAAGTATCTGGAAGGTATTTGCTCCAAGGGTGCACTGCTTCTCCTGAAAAAAATAAACACCAAAATCATTTATTATTTTTATTATTATTTTTTTTAATTTTTTAAATTCGAAAAAAATAAATAGCATGTAATGAAAGTATATATATATCTCACTGATTATCAGAAGCAACTAAACAAAACCAATAAGTTTTGAGATTTTGTTCGATGCGTTTAACGTTGTTTTTGTCATGACAGTGCACAATCGGTGCCCGATTATTCGTAAGTCCACCGACCGAAGAACTTTGTCCGCGGTCTAGTGGTCTTGGTCGTAATAATACTTCTTTAGACTTTTCCGCTATGCAAGAAACTGCAAAATCGTGATCGTTTGTAGCGTTTTTTATTATATTTGCCGTTTGATGATTTTTTCCCATTAGAGACCTCCAATAAGAATCACCCGTTTTCTCCGGTGACTTTTCTCTTTCATCTGCCGATCTTTTCCGAGCAGGCTGATCGGCAATTAATCCGCCACCACCAACATTTTTCTGCGAATATTAATTATTAGATTCGATATATCATTTTAAAATCAAATGAAAATAATTTATTTATAACTATTTGTTTCTTCTCTTCTCTTACATTTATTCCACTTCCTGCATGTTGTTCACTTCTTCCTTCATTATTGAAATTGTTCATCATGTTTTGCCAACGATGGTCCATCCTGTAGATTTTAACCATGCATAAATATTTACGACTATTTACGATAACGACATAATCGAGTTTAATAGTTAATTAATTAATAAATTTATACCTGAGCCTTTGAAGTGGAGCAGAACCAAGATGAGTATGGCATACTGGACAATTATGTAACCCCTCTTCAGTAATCTTCTTTGTTATGCAGTTATGACAAACTATTTTTTTTTTCAATTAAAAAGGAAAAAAAAAATCAAGATCTCCAAAATTAAATTAATCATTATATACCAAATATTTGTCACATAAAGTAAATACATTTTTTTTAATCAATTCATTAATATAATTTATGTATGGTATACGTACGTACCCAAAGGAATTCGAATTACCCGACCACTTCCACGTGGAACGATGCTACTAGTTCAAGTCATTTTTTCTTAAAACGAACATTGATTCCGTACATACCCGATTATATATATAACTCCGGATCAAATAAAAATCAATAAAAAATTCTAAAAAATTCAATTTTAAATCTAAGTAATTAAATTGAAATCATGGATTGGAGGGGGAAAAAATCATGTAATTAAGAGGAAAAATAAACATGTGACATAAACAAAATCTAAGATCTGAATTAAGTTAGACTAAAGATTCTTTCTATGTCAACATATCTGAAAAAAATGAAATCTTTAGCACCCAATTCACAAACAAATAAAATTTAATAAATAATTATTCTCAAAAAACAACAATTAAATAAATAAATAAAAATGAGAAAACTCACATCGGTGACAACAAGGTTCAACCATGGTTACTTGTCTGAAAGGCTTATGACAGAGAGGGCAGTTCAAACATCTCATCGTATTCTTATGCCTCAATCCAAAAAACTCCATTCTTCAAACCCTCTCTTGTGTGTGTGTGTGTGTGTGTGTGTGTGTGTGTGTTTTGAATATATATATATAATGGGGTGTATATATAAATATATAAAGGTGAAATGAAAATAAATGCAGTGAGACCCTGGAAAAAATCAATTAATAGGGCCGACAGAAAGGTTATTACAAGGTGATTAAAGGCTTACGTGAATAAGGAAATATAATCATATTACTTTCCTATCTGTTCGTATAGCTGTGTCATCGCATATATATATATATATATATATATATATATATATATATATATATATATATATATATATATATATATATATATTACGTTTGCAATAAATCGCGAAACACATAATTCATTAATGGCATATGCACTATACGATTATATATGAAAAGAATCAGACCCTGGCATATTAGGAACCTAATTCACTAATTTTGGTATAATCATTATGAATTACAGCCACAAATATTTGACAATGTTTTGACAATTTTAATTAATAAAAAGAAATTGCGGAAGTGTAATGGTTAAATTATCGTCTTCGTACAATAGCTTGTGAACCGTACGATAATGTTTTAATAATATATTATGTTGTTTAGTAGTAGTTAATGTGATTAGGGTATTTAAATATTATGAATTAGTGATTAGTATTTTGGAAGGATAAAAGTAGTGCTAATGCAAAGCATGTTTGATTTCGAGAGAGATTTGGGTGAATTTAGTAAAGAGGATGAAATTCAATTAAATTAATAAAATGGGAATAAAGGAAAAAAATAAACTAAAAAAAGTCAAATAAGTAAATAAATGGCATGTGTTGACTAATACCACAATTTTAAGAAGATAAGGGTAATTTTTCAAGTTATTACATATTTAATTAATAATTACATCAAATATAATTTACCGGATTAATATAATTTTGACTGGGCATGGAAATAATTTAATTTGGACACCCGGTCATATGGAATCGGGTCGGATCCGGGTCCTTTATGGGTTAAAGGGTCGGGGTACTTTCGTCGTGTGCGAGGATTCGAGAAATTGGAAGTAGAATTGTCTATCATACCCTTGCTGCGGGAAGCGGCGTCCGACGGCGGCAGAAAATGGTTGTCCCTGCGGCCTACGCTCTCAGTCCATTTTTTCCGGTAATTCAGTTCTTCTATAGCTCCTCTCAATCTCTTCTTCTTCTGATTTTTGCAAACCCCATGCGCAAGTGTAACTCTGCACCTCTCTGTGTGTTTGTGTGTGTGTGAGAGAGAGAGAGAGAGAGAGGTAAAACGCGTGCCTTTTAAATTTATCGAGTCTAACGAACAAGATAATCTAACGAACAAGATAATGCTAATTGAAGTACCAATTTCAAAATAAAAAAATAAAAAAAATAGGGAAGATTGTGCTGTAATTTCAGAAAATGTATCAGCTAGGGCTAAAGTGAATTTTTTTTAATATTTTTTTTTCTGTTAATTTGGAATTGGAAGTGTTAGAATTTAGGGTGTGATTTTTATGGAATTGCTTTGAAATTAGTTAAAAGCAAATGAACATGATGGTTAATATGAGGAAGGTAGATTACTGGATCTCTGTTTTGAGGACTGGTTTATTTGGTTTTCCGATAGGTGATAGTGATTTTCTTGGCTCTATCATTTTGTATCTCGTTTTCTTCAGTCGATCTGCTTTATGAAACTGCATTATGCATTGCTACTTCTGAATGTGTTATCCGTATCTACATGTTGCACGGAAAATCCCTTATTGAAATAGGTATGCCGTATGCGTTCTCTTGAGTTCGATAGTACCTCACTCACTTGAAATGCTTGATTCCCGTTTATTTTACTTCTGAGCAATGCTCTGCTGTGTGTTGTTCTGTCTTCTATTTTATCTAAATTTAGCTGAAATCTTTTGGTAACAAAACGAAAGTTAATACCCTGTTTACACGATCACTACCTAACTTTAGCTATATTTCCCTTTTTGTCCAGGTTGCATCAACTAAAAGCCGAGTGTGTGAACTCCATAGTTCCATTCCAATAAACAACCGCAAACAACATGTTTCAGTAACGTGCTCTGCAAAATTTCCAGGGATGGAACACTTTCACGAACCTACTACCAAGCTTATAGTTTTCTTAAATTACACCAAGGATGAATTATGGAAATTCATCCCTGGTTCAGTTAAATCTTTTCCTTGGAAGAAAGCAGAGAGTGTTGCTCTGCACGAGTTACTGATTTTGGGGAAGGAAACATTAAAGTGGTCTTTTCTTGCGTGGTTTTCGTTTAGTTGGCTAATCCGATATCTTATACTCTCTCTCTAGAAACAAAGAGCTCATGATTCCTTTTGGTCTTTTTGTCGGAATTATTATCACAAAATACGTTGATCAGATATGTCAAGAATTCGTGGTTGATGATCACAAGGTGAATATTATTGGCTGTAACTCTTCTCTTCAGTCTATTCGCACCCGTTGAGGCTAATTTGGTCTTTTCTTTTCCCTACAGGATGGTTCGATTAGCTGGCGAATTCTGGGTATTTCTTGCTTTCTTGTTCTTGTGAAGGTAATGTCAATGTTTTTTTTGGGAGGAAATGATTTTCTCTTGCATTGTGCGAATGGCGGATTGATGCAAGTATTATGGAATTGGAGAAATTTGCCAAAATTAGATGGAGAAAAATCGGTTGAGAGCTGATCATTCGATTTACTGTTTCTGTTTCGACAATTTCCATGGTTGCCGATTTTGGAACAGATGTTTTCTAATTTAAGAACATTTAGAAGTTGAGACGCTCGTGAATATGTGTACGACACATTACAAAATGCTATCATTACATAATGAAACAGAGCACTCCATTTTAGTTTCTTTCTCTCTCTCTCTCTCTCTCTTTTTTTTTTTTTTTTTTTTTTTTTTTTTTAAATCAGAAAGAGCAGAAATTCAAGACTATTTGACAATCGAAAGATTCGAATCCACCAACGCCCTGATTCGTTGCACAGAGAGATCAAGAGTTTCCTCCTCCATATTAGCAAAACAAACCCTAAACCAACCCGGTTCGTTGCAGTGGCAAGAGGATCCGGGCGAGACATTCAACCCGAACCCGCAAACCATTTTCTTCCATAGATCCATTTCCGCTTCAAACGTTTGACCGGTCAACAGATGCCTCATATCCACCCAGCAGAACAATCCAGCATTGCTCTTCAAACACCGAATCCCTGTTTTCTCGAGTCCAGAAACCAGCACCCTCTGCCTCTTCCTCAGCCTTCTCCGATTCTCCTTTATGTACTTCTTGATAAATATCTTGTCCGATAATATTCTCGAGAGAAGAAACTGCGATTGAGAAGAAATTAATCCGAAGCTCGACATTTTAGTGGCTGCAGCTATTAGGGTTTCGTTGTTTGAATATATTGCTCCGATTCTGAAACCTGGAAGCCCTAAATCCTTCGAAAGGCTTGAAACTATGTGGACTCGGTTCCAAATTTGATTATTATTATTGTTGAATGATATTTTGTTTAGAGCTTCGAATATGCTTATGAATTGTGGGGAGTTGAAAACGGTGCCGGAGTATATTTCGTCGCTAACTATGTGGATGTTTTTTTCGATGGAGAATGTGATGACGTGGTTTAGTTCTTGGAGAGTCAATGTGGTGCCAAGTGGATTTGAAGGGTTTGTGATGAAAACGCCTTTGACTTTGAGGTGGAGTTTTTGGGCTTGTTTGTAAGCTTCTTCCATGGCGGAAATGGTGATCTTGAAATCGTTTGAGCTGCTGCATTGTATGGGTACGATTTCGACTCCGGTTCTCCATTTCAGATCTCTGTCAAACCTGAAAAAACGAGACATGTTTTATTTTATATATATTAATCGTCTCAGATTATATATATAATAACTGCGGGTTTGGAAAAAATAATGTTGTTATTACCCGGGGTAATACGGTGTGGGGATCAAGAAAGCTTCGCCGGGTTCGGCAAGGCAAAACATGAGGGTTTCGTTGGCTGATGTGGCGCCTGCCGTGAGTACAAGCTTGTTGGTGTCGAATTTAACCTTGTTTTGTCTTATTTCAGACATGTACTCTGCTAGTTCCTGAATTACAATTTAAGTGCCACAAACATTTAAACAATGTCCATCTATATATGAAAAAAAAATATGAAGTGCCACAATTAATTAATTAAATTACCTTCTTAAATTCGGGCAAGCCATGATAATCCTGGAAAAGAGCCAATTCCCTGAACATGGATTCGCCCCTTTTCTTGAACCAGTTACTTTCCTGGTTTCTTGCGAGCCAAGACTCCAGAAGATCGAAACAAAGCTGTCGAAATATTATCATTTGTTAGAATTACCAAAAAAAAAAAAAAAAAAGAAAAAAGAAAAAATCAAAACCCAACATGCAACTATTATTAAACATATTTATTGCATGGGGTGCAACAAATGGTAATAAAAGGTAGGGACCTGGTTTTCAGCAAGGCCCATCTGAATAATACCAGACGGGTTTCGAACGGGATGAAAAGGATTCTTATCGTATTCTTGCCATCCTAGGAAGTAAGAAGAGTCTTGGCCATGTGACTTGCATGTAACTTTCCTAGACAACATGTTATCCATTTTAGTATATTACTAAACTTAAACCTTATTGTTATTATAAAGTTTTCGATGTGTAAGTTATTCCGGAAACATTGGCATCTATTTACATGCAGCACCTTGTGCATGCTGTCTCCGTACGCTTTTTGCAGAATCGGAATCGCACGTTCGACTTCTAAAGTGCATGAAAAGTCACCTGCATAAAGAACATTGCAAAGAAACCTTCCATTATATATATTTATAGATATATATATACGTAAAACATGACAATTTTTCAAGGTTTGATCTATAAAATCCATTTAATAACAAATCTAGTGTAGTGCGTATGTATGGTTAATTCTTTTAGACAATAAATTTCTAAATCAAGAATTACATTTCCGCATAGAAATATAATAAAGGAACCTAGTCATGTAATCATGTTCGTTAATCGATCTTGATTAATACATAAAAAAGATTTTGAAATACTTTCTGCTCTCATGATTTTGAAGAAACATTTCATGCATCAATTCCATCCCGAAAACAAAAGGGACGTGAAATTATGGATCAGATGATAAAGAGAGAAAATATAGGAACCCGATAATGAAAAGCGAGTAAATGATTACCTTCAACCGGACTGACAAATTTTTGACTTCCGAAAGGACCTATAAGGCAAACGAATTCCCGTCGGTCAAAGCATAATAAGTACATAACATTTTATCTGAGAGCATTAAATTCCTAGCCTAAGCCATCCCCAATAGGAAACCACGAAAAGCTAGATGCAAAAGTTGCTCCGGTTTGTGGTAACAACAGTTAAAACGTGCAAAAACTACACTGCTGATTGACATTCAAAAAGTACACCGATGTTTCTCTACTGATATTGTTAAGTGAAGGCTCTCTTATACGTAACAGTTCGGCTAAATCAAATAAACGATCAACCTAAACATTTTACTTTTCTGAGTTTGTATTCACGACTACTCTGGAATGCAGGCGATATAAGCAACCACAAATTAAAAACAAAAATCATAACATTCGAAGATCTCGGTAATGGGCTATGTTCTTGATTTTGAAAACTTATTACTAATTGTTGGGAAAAGATCAACCTTACATACATTTTCACTTGCCAGATCACTTAGAACTAAAAACGTTACTAATTCCACATTGAAGTTATTAATCGGACAGCCATCCATTACTACAATCAGCAAATTCAGTATTTTACTCAGCTTATTACTCATCAACAAACTACAATCCAATTGTATGAGAAGGTTAAGGAACAGAACAAAATCAAACCTTGGCCACGGTATAGAAAACCTATCACAAACAACGCCCCCTGCAAAAAAAAACATGAAAATTAATCGTCTGCAATTAGAAATTGCACACTGGTCAAACGAGAAAGCACACCAGGATTCTACAATTAGAATTTCTGCATTTGTTTTCAACAGGACAATGTAAATCGCCATACGAGAAACATAAATTATTACCAGAACGATGAGGGCAACAGATAAGTAAGGGGAAGAGCGGGATCTAGAATGAAAGGCAGACGAAAATGGAGCTGACCCACTTTCAGATATCCGCCGAGAAGGATTAACGGGTCTCCTTGTCGCCATTAACACAGCTGATTAACGCTCAATTTAATGAATATTACCAATTGGGAGTAAAAATTAGTGTGATTGAATCCTGAAACACTGAAAATTTTGAAAAATTGGGATGAAGATTTGACAGAAGATGCGAGCTCGTGATTTGTTTATCTGTGTGAAAATGGAATTGGGAAAATTGTGCGTCTTTATTGAGATTTGATGTGAAAAATACAGTAAAAAAAAGAAGAGAAAAGTGGGAATGGGGAGTGAAAATTGGTAATTGTTGCGTCGAGTCGGTAGGGATCCAACTGGTGTGTTTGTTCTTCGCCTTGTGTTGTGGTGGAGATACCCCAATCTTTGCACTTGGGATTATTAATCATTTTTAATTCCCATTTTGCACCTCAATTAGTTATTTTTTATTATTAAAAACCAAAGTCAACATTAATTATTATTATTATTATTATTATTATTATTATTATTATTATTATTATTATTATTATTATTATTATTATTATTATTATTATTATTTGATATACTTAATGAAGACCACTATCACCGAGACCCAATCACTTTTAAATAAAGTTTGGGTCCAACAATCTCAACTAATGTATAAATAACGATATTATTCACTTATAAAAGGTACGCCTATTATCTGAATAATACTACAAGTCATATTCTCTGAATTATTTCTACAATCTGCACGTCTGACTTGAGCGTCGGAGGGATTACTGCCGGATCAACCCCAGCCTAGTTCATCACGTGTTCTCTGTTCGCAGGTATCTCAGGGCCATCTAGCACGTAAGCAGTGATACACTTTACTCTCCCAACTCCCTCTATCTTAACTAATTAATGTGATATATTTCTCGCAATTCATCATTATTATTTTAACGGGCAAAATAGTTACTAAATAGGGGCGTAAACGCCTACTCGACAAAAACTCGAACCCAATTTTATTATTTATTATTTATTATTATTATTATTATTATTATTATTATTATTATTAATTGATTGGTAATTTTAAATTTTTTTATTAACATAAAAAATAATTTATATTAATAATATTGATATAAAAAATTAAAAAAGAAAAGTAGAAAATTGAGCCCGTATCCTATACAGATTTATAGACGGGCCCATATCCAAGGTTTGGGCCAAATTTTGTAGAGTTCAGGTGGACAATTGAGCCCATTTCTTATTCTTTATTTAGAACTAATTTTGACACATTTTATCAACAAAAAAAATAATATAAAAATTAAACTAAATAGTGTTATTTATTATTAGAAGAAAAAAAAAATATTGGCCGCACCCAGATTTGCGACGAAATTAAGCGCCTTGAATTAATTTTTCTGCGCCACTATCCAAAACAAAAATCAAACAGCCCCAAAATCATTTCTGAGCTAACTCAAATCTGTAAGTAATTATATATGCCCTAGATAGTGAAAACGAAGAGATCAGAAGTGATACAGAGAAGAAGGGGAACAAGGTCGGTAGGTCGCATGATTCCGGTATTGCTGCCTAATTCAATCCCGTCGCAGTTACTTCCGGCGATCAATCGAAATTTTTGAATGTGAGTTAGAAAGAGAAATAATTGGATGGACAAGGGCGAGGCCGACAAGGGAACAAGTGATGACGTCTGGCGGCATCCGAACAAATATCATGAGGATACGAAGGGGAAAATGTTGCTATGGAGTAGTCTAATTTTTGGATTTATCGGCGCCACCGCCACCACCTTTGCCGTAAGCTTTCTTTCTCCATTTTATTTTTTTTCTTTCATTTTTCCCTTATCTTTAGTTTCTGCAGTAGACGATAGTGATATTGTTCAAGGGTTTCTAAATTCCTTTAACATTTTAATTAGTAAGGGCAGAGGCTTGAAGTGGAGTATTTGAGCTTGTAATTTAGCTTGTAATTTAGAGATTAAAGCGTATCCGTTTTTAGTTAGAATTTATTTAATCAATTCTTATCCAAATAATGAATTATGAAAAATTAATCTCAATCTCAGTATTTATGTGAGTACAAGTATTGTGTTCGATGCAAGTCGTAGCTTGTGTAGCCTATTTCTTATGTGCTGTAGTGTCATGAGTAACATTCCTCTTTAGTTTGTCGAATGTCTGTGTAAATTTCCAACCAATGTGGCAGGTTACCCAGTTACGAACCACAATTGATCGTATCTACTCTCAGGTAACATTCTCCTTATCGATTCTTTCTTTAACCTTTTTTTTTTTTTGCTAATAATTTTAGTAGTGTCGTGTCAAACACTGCTTACCTTAATTAGCTGTATTGACTTTGGATGTTAATGGGTTGCAAAAGTTGAACAGGGCTCAATCATCGCTGAAGAATGGGAAAACTTTTCGAACTAATTTTCAAGAGGAAGCAAGGAAAAGATATAATCGCCGTATTCGAGAAGAATATGAAGCAGAAATGGAGAGAGTGGTGAGATTCATTTCCTAGCTGTTTTTATTATCCGTTTTGACGTCTCAGGTGGTACACATACCATTCTTTCAGTTTCTTTCCGTTTAAGATTAAAAGTTGATGTATTATTCTTTATTAAATTTAAACATATCGTGGAATTTGCATATGCAAACATTAAACATATTACATGGAGGTATGTAAGTTATTATTCAGCTATTACATTTCATAATGTCAAAATAAAGGCAGAGAGAGTTTGATCAGTTTTTATGTTTTTCCTAGGAGCGAATTCGACGAATGCAGAGTGTTTTCAACAGAGAGAGAAGTAAATTCAAAAGGAGTAATGACAGCTGGCAACAACACGATCCAGGTACATACCATCAGCACTTCCAGAGGGATGACTGGTATTGGAAGCAAGATACTTCGTTCGGAGGTCATAATAGTAATTTTAGGGAGACTCCTTGGTCCAACGGAAGCTCCCCGTTATCGCATCACTACTCCATTCTTGGACTTGACAGGTATATCCACTCTAGAGATATAAGATGTCACGTAATCTTTTGAGAACAAGAAACTTAGTTCAGTTTGCCCGTTTGATAGTTTCACGATTATTGAAGTTGCTGCAAAACATTTATGGAGTATTTGACCACTTTGAGGTGCCGTTTGTATTCCTCTTTTTCAGGTTGAGGGCGACACCCTACACAGATAACGAGATAAAGGTACTTGCTAATATATGACATATTCTTATCCATGTGGATCAAATTAACTGGTGCCACAAAAATTACCTTATTTTGTGCCAAACACATAAATTATGTTGGGAATGGCTTGATCGATAAAATGAAGCGACCAAATGACGATCAAGCCATTCCTAACGTAATTTATGTGTTTGTGCACAAAAATAAGGTTTTCTACACGTCTTTTACACGTATGCTCTTTGTTTACATTTTTTCTAATATTATTATTACCAGGGTCATTTATCCTGTCTCACACTTGCTGTATATTTCTTGTTTTGTCTGCAGTCAGCCTTCAGGACAAAGGCTAAGGAATTTCACCCTGATCAGAATCAAGACAACAAAGGTGGTTATTTCAAGACAAATATACTAACAGTTTATTATTCATCGGATGATTGTTTATGTCTTTTGTGTGCAGAATTTGCCGAAGCAAAATTCAAGGAAGTTATGACGTCTTATGAAGCTATCAAGTTAGAAAGAAAGAACAACCGGCATCAATGATGGAGAGCTTATACGGTGTGGATTGTTCGTAAGCTCTTGAAAAAATCGAGTAGTATAGTATAGTATATAACAGAATTTCTGAGTAGAGTGCTGGTGTTTTAAATTTTATTAAATGGTGCTTACACCCAAAATACAGTGTAATTGAACTATAGCCAACTACACAAAGTATAATTCAATAATTGGGTTTTGTCTGTACAGAATTTTCATCAAGTTTTCATGTTTGTTTTATTTATTATTATTATTATTATTTATTTTTATTTTTTTTTTGTCACAAAATACAAAATTTGGAGAAAGTCACAAATGGCTCTATTAATTTACAAGTTTGTCCTCTGAAACAATTTTCAATTAAATAAAAGTAATATTATTTTCATAGAAGTTGGATAAAATTTCACAGCGTGTGAATTTATTTCATTTTGAAACCCGCCAATTTCAACTCCTCGAAAACCCCCCACCGTCGATCACCGTCTCCTCTGCGCCACCGCCAATGGACTTCAAATCCTCCGACGCCGGTGTCTGGAGAGAAGCCCTCTCCTCGTACGAATCCACAATAGAAAGCATTGGAAAACCCAACCTGATTCCCCTCGACGATTTCTACCGCAATGAGCTCCCAAATCTCCTCCACAAACGAAACCCTAACCCCTACATCACCACCGACGAGCTCTCCAAACTCATGCAGTGGAAGCTCGCTCGCGGCAAGTGGCGGCCGCGCTTATTATCCTTCGTCTCCTCCCTAGACGACGCCGTTGTACGAAACGCCTCCGGGAAGGCGTTTGCTTCCCTACCTGACGTCTCGAAAGCAGTCTCGGAGCTGACGGTGTTGAAAGGCGTGGGTCCCGCCACCGCCTCCGCCGTACTCGCCGCCTATGCTCCGGATGTCGCGCCGTTCATGTCGGATGAGGTATTATTTCAAAATCATAATTGAAGATTTTATTTTTCCCCGATTAGTGTGGTGTGGTAGTTTTGGAATTTACACATGATTTTGAGTTTTGGAAGTAGAACAAAAACCTAATTGGATTTCTAGACTCTACATTTTTTGAATATGTAAAAAAAAAACCCTAATTTTGAATGGTGTGATGGAAAAATTAGGCCATGGTTGCTGTGGTTGGGGATTCCAAGGATTACTCGTTAAAGCGTTATCTCGTGTTTGCAGAGAAGATTCAAATCAAGGCAAAGGTTTAATTTCTAGCAATAATTCGATCCTCCATAACCTTTTTTTTTAACATCAAAATATATTTAATTTATCCGATATTATTTAAATTCAGGAATTGTCTTCGCCGGAGGATATATTCACACCGTCGGATGTTGAAAGGGCTTTGTGGAGTAGTACCATTGGTGCTAAAGTGAAATCATCTTCGACAAAGTCCGATGATGTTGTGTCGGAGAAGAAGCCCAAGAGAAAGAGAAAATGACGGTAAGGCTCACTACTCGTTTAACTACTACTACTGTGTACTGTGTTATATCCTAATTTTCTGTACGTATATGTATGTTTCTCTTGCACTTTACTGCAGTGGGGTGTATGATTTAGTGTAAAAGTAACCATTTATGTTGTGTTAGATCACTATTTAGTGTGTTCCTTTTCATCTTGGTATTTGATTGTGTTAGTGTGCTGCCATTATATTCTAATCCGTGGGCGTTTTATAATTCCGATCTTTGCTATCTTCTTCGAGCATAGAAGTGAAATTTTAGTGTCGTTTGTTGAAATTTTGTGTAGCAGAAAGAAAAGATATTGATAACATCTGTTGCTTATGTATGGCTCCTTCGACCCTACACCCGGTGATAAACACCTGGTGAGTGGGTTTTTGCTGCCATGTGTTCTTTTTTTAATTTTTCTAAAACCCGTAAACCAAAGCGGGGAATATATTATAAAATACAAAAAATGACACATGGCAGGAGAAGACCCACCCGGTGTTTATCACGGGGTGTAGGGTTGAAGAAGTCCGTATGTTGTTTAGGTTACATTAAACGGCCAATTCCCTTTTCTTTATTTTTTTCAAAAAAGTTTTTATTTATTTATTTATTTGTTATTATTTTTTTCACTAAATCGAATAATTTGTGGCCTAGTACTTTACTAGACGTGTTGACCCAATGGGCCTCGCTTCTGCAATAGCCCAATTTCTTCTGGCTGTCTTCACAAATTCAGAATTTGGATACTAAAAAAAGAAGCCCAAATGAAATAAAATAATAAATTAGTTGATTCATTTATTTGAAAAGAAAAAAAAAGTACTCCACCTGATAGGTGACGTCACCGACTGATGAATTACTCTTTGTTTTAAAAATAAAAATCTTTTAAATTTCACAAAATAAATTAATTGCTTTTTAAGTGTGTGAAGTGTGAAAGCAAACGCAATACATAGTTCAGAAAAGGGCAAACGTCAGTCCGCAATCAAGGCACCTGCTCTTTCTCATTTACGTAAAGAATGGGCAATATACGATTTTTCTTTTTGATTTTGATTTTCCTTTTGTTTTTTTTTTTTTTTTTGTGGAATTTTTTTACTCCAAAAAGAACGCAAAAGTTGACTCTCCTTATAAGAATCTCCTCTCTCCTTTGACTAGAAAATATCCAGTACTAGATTAGGTGACACTTAATTAGTTAATTGATGTAAGATTTAATAATGGTAAATACTAAATAGGGATGTCTACTTAATTGTTGTATCATTCAACCTCATTATTCACATGAATTTTTTTCTCTTTTTTTTTTCTTTTTTTTTGATAATTCAGATGTCCGAGTTTAGCCCGACTAATTCTGGGAGCAAACGGCCTTCCCCTGGTTCGTCTACCAGGTAAATTCGGATGCGGGACACAAAAGTTGATTAATTACATAAAAGTAACCCCACTAACAAAAGTTGTTCATTATGAAAGTAAAACATTCTTTTACAAATAATTACAAGACCAACCAGCTATGGAGATGCCCCCCTAACCGTCCATATTAAGAATAATTAGTCGATATCAAAACTAATTAGTAATTAATTATGTCGATGTCTAAGAATAAACAACTAATCATAGAGAAGGAAATAATTATGCAATAAAACCCACACGCTCAGAAGAAAAAACAACTTAATTATATTGACAATGGAACCTTTGTTGAATTCAGAAACAAAATCCTATATCAATTATCATATTTTAATAAGACAAATTATATTTTGTACTATTATTATTATTATTTTAATGTCTCGACCATGCCTGCCCCAGTGTCCCTCCATTTGTATTTAATAATCAAATTAAGGCCATCTTATATTACACCCACCACAAATAAAATAAATTATGATTAGAAACTCATAAATCCCTAATTAGGGCCCCCTACACTTTTTGTGATCTTTCTCAATATTTTCTTTGTCATCATATTTTTTGCTCTTCTTCTGGGGCATACTTGATTAGTGTTGAACAAGTTTGATTATTATATTTGCAAAGAAGTTTATAAGTAATGATTAATCTGCCATCCATTTTCAAAGTGCAAAATTTGCGACCTCAAAACCTCCTTTCAAATCCAATACCTTTGTTCGCCCAGCAATAAGTTCGGCATCGGTGTTTGCAGGCGAAGATGAACTAATCGACTTGGGAAAAGAAATTAAAACTACACAAACAAAATCATTTTATGACCTCTAAATGTAGAACGAAAATGATGCGAATAAAGTCAATTAAATATTTATAATTTCAATTATATAATAGCCATTTTATACAAGTAAATAAAAGCTCTCTTTATTTGCTCGAGAATATATCATTTTGTTTTATTTTATTTTTATTTAAAAAAATAGCTTATTATAGTGTTTGGGTCATGGTCAAATTATTTGTCCTCAAAAGAAAATCAACATCAAACCACAAAATCATTCTTATTAAAATGGCAAATTTGGAGTTTTCATATGTAACGTTAGCCCCAAAAATTTAATATAAACTCTTTCATATTTAATTTCAATGACCATTAAAAAATAAATAAAGAAATACACCTTTACTTTTCAGTATAATTGTTTTCTATACAGTATAGTGGTACAGAACATGGTTTACGCCGGCGGAGGGGCCCATAACCTCCCGGCTCGCCGGCGGTGGTTGACAGGCTGTATCATAAATAAAACAGATAAAAGGACACATGTCTCCGTCCGCGTGTCATTCTCTCCGCTCATCATGCAACTTTTTTCCACCTACTCCCAGTCAGTCATCCTCGTCTGTCACCCACCGTGCACTCTATCATATATCCTTTTGCTTTTCTGTAATACATTTTGACCAATCGTTGGACCGCACCTGTTGCCGGTTTCCGAGAATAATCCCTTGCTACTGGAAATTCCCTCTTTGTCCTCAATATATGTACATATCACATCACTAATAATTTTATTTTTTTTGTTTTTAAGTAAAAGAAAACATTAAAATAAATATTAAATCCTCGTTGGTTATTAGAAGCATTTAGTACGTAGTTAAAAAGATAATAAATTGTTTCATTTTGTTTAATTACTGTGCAAATACTTTGAATACGACAAAATCCATTTTAGATATACATCACTTAAAATGATGGATATTATCTATCCTCTGAGCCACTGTACAAAGTTAACAAAAGTGTGATTAAATTATTATAAACTATTTGTCCTTTGTTTAACACTTGGCAATTCTTGCATCTTGGAATTTGTATTTTGGAAGAATTTTTATGGCGCAAACTTTAAAATTGATTATCCAAGTAAAAAAAAATTTGTTGTTTGCAAGAGCTAGAAATTTGTAGAAATCAGGGATTGTCAGTTAAGTCGGTTTTAAGTATTTTTAAAAACGCTGTGTAAAGCGAGTTAGAATTTCGTAACTGCAAATTTTCACTTTTTTTTGAAATCCGAGGGCGATGTTCTTGGATTTATTATCTATTAAGTCTAATATTATAATAATTTGATTCCATTTTTACTCGATAGTTATTAATAATATTGGTGTAAAAGAGTAACCCTAGTAGAATTAAAATTTACTTGTATATTTAGTTTAAATTCAACAGATTTCTGTAATTGATCAAATTATAACCCGAGGGAGAGATGTGGTTATTTATTTTAATTGCAAGGTGAAAATATCGAATACAACTAGTATTTCATCTTTGAGGTGCACAAGAATAATTAAAAAAATGAAAATAATTTTAGATAAAATAATTGACTAAAAAACTTCAATATTTAATATATATGAAGTAAAAATAATACAAAAGAATTGAAAAAAAATATCAAATGATGAAACTGCAAAATCATTGATTGATGAACTAAAGCTTGTACTTCAAAGTTCAAATTTGTCTCTTAAAATCGTATCCCTTTTATCCACGTTTATTCAACCTTAATTTACTAAACTAGACATTCAGTTGCAGTGCCACCTACACCAAAAACTGTCGGTGGTCGGTAGGTGCTAAGGTTATTTTCGACCATTCATTTCTTAGTCATACATTAATTGATTTATTTAATGACCGACAATTACATTTTTATCCCACTTTCTGTTTTTTTTTTTAATATTTATTTACTGGAAGTAAGATTTGTTTTTGTTTAAAATTAATATAATATCACAGTGGAGGATTCGAAGCATATTCTGTTACACAAGACCAACATGAGAAATTTAAAAAAAAATTGAATTTTTTTTGTCGTTGCTCTATTTATTTTCACATGAGATCATGCACAATAAATGATGTAAGAAAAAAATAACATGTCAACTTGTACTTAAGAATTAAGATCAAGTGATCAACACATTTTACTTTTTCATTAATATGAGAAAATTAAATAGTTGGGACAGAGAAAAATTATGCTTTTATCGAAATTATTAATTTATTAATTATTAATTTATCGAGTTTATACTCTATACTGGATGAACTTCTTCTACATCTCTTTATTTATTTATTTTATTTTGGCGTGAATTAGATGGATTCACATTTTTTTCTCACTATTGCATTTATGCTTTGATCTTGCGCAATAATGTCACACTAAATATCGTTTTCTAATAGAATAAATTAATGTTTAAAGAATAGGCAAGTAAACCATAGATCTATGTATAAATAGTTATTAAATATAGAGCTAAGAAATTAGCATAAATAATTAAGAGCACAATTTTATTTTGCAAGATCATAAATATAAAGGCAAGTAGGTAACCATGCATTTATGAAAGTCAATTCGATTAACCGTGCAAAATTTAAAAATGAATTCCAATATCGCTACAAATAAAGTCGTAAACTAGACTACAGTATCCAATTCGAGTTTGATCATAAAAAGCTAGTTTAAAATTCGAGTTCGATTAAAATTTATTTTAACTTGACTGAACTGCTGCTAATCAAATCAAACTCAAAAACAAATCTTCAAAGACTAGTAAAAAGTCAAACAAAAACGAAGGCTTGATTTCATTTTCATGGGTAGTCAATTTTGTGAATAATGCATGCTTTATTAGGACAAAATCCAAGGGCAATTTCGGAACATTGGATTAATTCTTACACTAAATTTAGAATTCAAACATGTCTAAATAAAATTCAATACTTTGAATTAGCAAAGTTTTGGTTTGCGCGTTGTTTTCGGATTAAATTTTACTAAATGCATAATTATAGTCAAACTTAGCCGGGTTTGGATCATGCCCTAAAAAACCCATTTTTTACAATAAAAACGGCTCGATCTTTTTTAGTGGAAGAATTGGTCGTTAAGACAACGGCCCTGATTTTCCCTTTTTTTTTTTAATTTAAAATAAATATATAAAATAATATTTAAAGTTAAAAAAAAAAATTAACCATGTAATTTATTTACTAATAACAGAAAAAGAATAAAAAGAAAAAAAGAAAAGAAATTTTCTCCATTTTTTCTCCACCTAGGGCATGCACGATTAAGCTGCTGTTTGCCAATTTTGCGCTTGAATTTTTCACATTTTTCCCCACAGTTAATTTTTTTTCTCGTGCGTGGAAAAGGGGCAAAGGTTTGTTTTGTATTGATTATTATTGTTATTATTATGAATGTAAAAATTAAATATTGTTAATTAATTTTATTAAATTCGGAATTTATTCCCACACGGTGAGAAATTAATTCCACGACGGAGGTGTATTGAAGTTTCCATCATCCTTCATTAAATGCATTTTTTTTTAATTTTTTTTTTATTGTTCATCAAAATTCAGTCAATTATGGGTTTGTTGTTGTTTTACATGATTTTATTTTTTCTTCGAATTAATATTATTAGATTAGATGCCCTAATTTGAATTTCAGTCAATTTTATCTTTTTAGGTTTAATAAAAATTGGATCTTTACGTTAGAAGAATTCGTGGTGGAAGGCCCCAGCTGTGGCACTACCAGTCAAGAGAAATTTCTGTAGTCTCTTGTTTTTATTTGGATTTAAATCCAGAAAAGCAGCACAAGGTGGAGATATATATATATATATATATAATATTATATATATTTATATAAAATACTATTCTGCAATACATAAATATATATACAAATAAAAAAAGAAATTGCCCACTACTTATTTAATCTGCATAATGCATTTAATTTATTCGTCTTTATGATCTCATATTTTGTGTTCCAATTTATTTTTGTAAATGCAGGAGTAAAAAAAGAAATTAGTGGGAATAAACAGATTCTTGCTAGGGTTCTTTGTTGGTGATTTTGACTTGCAACAGAAGAACCAAAGCTCTCTTTTTTTTTTTTTTTTGTGAGTTTAATTTAATTTTCCGAAATTTAATTTTTCACACACTTTATGGAATAAAAACCCCAAAGACGTGTTGAGCTGTTATCCTTTTTTCCTCTCTCTCTCTCTCTCTCTACCCATAGTTTCTCTCACTAGAACCGAACCTTTATTTCAATTCAAAAATCATATCTCCCTACTGCAACCGTACTTGGTGCAAGCTGTAAATGAACGTAATGTGTACAGGACCATTTGTACAATACCTCTCTGTAATAACAACACCCTCCCCCCATTCTTCACATTTTTTATTACTCTTTTATTAATTCTTCTTTCCACCATTTTAATTTTTCCTTGTATTAATTTCTTCCTCTTCATCTCTTCCTCATCCTCATTTTCATTCAAAATGAAGTTTTTGTAGTTTTCTCTGTCACTATTTGCCACCCCCACCCCCCACCCCACCCCCCCTTGTCTCCTACCTTTGTTTCTTGGTCTTTTTAACTCAGCTGAAAGCAATTAAAGATTCAATTTTTAAGCCCTTAATCAGCATCTCACACATTTTGCTTCACACGGGTTTGCTTGTAATTATTCCTGAGCAGAGTTTCCCTCTGAGTTTTATCTGCTCAGGGAAAAAAAATTGGATCTTGAATTCCAAAAAAAAAAAAAGAACAGATATTTTTTTTTTTTTTTTTTTTTTGTGATATTGAGAAATGGCTCCATCGCTGTACTGGTGGGCGAAGGAAAACCACCGGGGAACGCCGGTGGTAGTGAAAATGGAGAACCCAAACAACTGGTCCATGGTGGAGCTGGAATCCCCCTCCGACGAGGACTTCCTCTACCAAAACGACGGCGTTCCGAAAGGCGGCCGCAACAAGAACGCCAAGCAGCTCACTTGGGTCATCCTCTTGAAAGCCCACAAGGCCGCCGGCTGCCTCACCTCCATCGCCTCCGCATTCCTCTCCCTCTCCTCCATCGTCCGCCGCCGCATCGCCTCCGGCCGCGTCGACTCCACCGACACCTCTTCGTCGGAGAACCCCGCCGTCAAATCAAGATTCTACACCAGCATCAAGGTCTTCCTCTCCCTCTCCCTCCTCCTCCTCTGCTTCGAAATCGCCGCCTACTTCAAAGGCTGGCACTTTGAAACCCCGGATCTCCACCTCCACCGCCTCTACTCCCTGACGAGCGGCTTCGCCGCCAGGGATGCGTTCGGCCTCCTCTACTCGAAATGGGTTCTGATCAGGGCGGAGTATCTCGCTCCGCCGCTTCAATTCTTGGCAAATGCTTGCATCCTCCTCTTCCTTATCCAGAGCCTGGATAGATTAGTCCTCTGTTTGGGTTGCTTCTGGATTAAATTCTGGAATATCAAACCCGTTCCCAAACAAGACCTTACCGATCTCGAATCCGGCGACTCCGGCGGCTATTTCCCGATGGTGTTAGTTCAGATCCCAATGTGCAACGAAAAAGAGGTATCAATTGGTCTTTTCCACTTGTCTGTAACTGCCCATTCATGTTTGGTTGGTTTGAATTTGAATTTGAGTTTTGTTCTATTTCGGATTGTTTAAGGTTTATCAACAATCGATTGCGGCGGTGTGTAATTTGGATTGGCCGAAGGGGAGAATGCTGATTCAAATCTTGGATGATTCGAGCGATCCCGAAACTCAATCGCTCATCAAAGAAGAAGTTCATAAATGGCAGCAAAATGATGCCAACATTATATACCGGCACAGAGTTATGAGAGATGGTTACAAAGCCGGCAATCTGAAATCGGCAATGAACTGCAGCTACGTTAAAGATTACGAATTCGTCGCTATTTTCGACGCCGATTTCCAGCCCAACCCTGATTTCCTCACTAAAACTGTTCCTCACTTCAAGGTAGGTATCATCTTTTCTCAAGCAATCGGCATTGGATTCGGATTACTTAGATAAAATTGTAATCTTGATTTGGATTTTTTTCCGCTTGGAATTATTACAGGATAACGAGGAAGTAGGGTTGGTCCAGGCGAGATGGTCGTTTGTGAACAAGGATGAGAATCTACTAACAAGATTGCAGCTCATTAATTTGGCTTTCCATTTCGAAGTTGAGCAGCAAGTCAACGGACACTTCATCGACTTTTTCGGATTCAACGGGACAGCTGGCGTGTGGAGGATAAAGGCTCTGGAAGATTCCGGTGGTTGGTTGGAGAGAACCACCGTTGAGGATATGGACATTGCTGTACGAGCCCATCTTCACGGTTGGAAATTCGTCTTCCTAAATGATGTTGAGGTATTTTTTACAAAAAAAAAAAATCATCAAATAGCTTTTTTTTTTGTCTGTATTCGATTGTTCCTTTTCCGTTTTCTGCATAACTAAAATATGTGAAAATTATCAGTGCCAATGTGAATTACCGGAATCTTACGAAGCTTATCGTAAGCAACAACATAGGTGGCATTCCGGGCCGATGCAGCTGTTCCGTCTCTGTTTGCCCGCCATTATCAAATCAAAGGTAATTTTACGACACTAGGAAAACTTTAAGGCCTCGTTTGGTTCCTATCGTATGATTAACCATGATATTATGCAATTTTACACAAACCTAATTGTATAATTAGACTAGGGAGAGGTCTAATACACGAAAGAGCTCTTTTACGGATAAAAAGCTTATTTTTGTCTTTCGTATACTTCTTTTCCCAAGTTTCAACTACTTCATAAACTTTCTTGATTTACGTGTTTAAAAATCTTGTAACGGTAGATGTTTATGAAACGAATAGAGTAATTATTAACGAGAATTGATTTTCTAACTTTCGTTTCACGTGCATGCAGATAAGCATATGGAAGAAAGCGAACATGATATTCCTCTTCTTCCTTCTCCGAAAACTCATACTCCCGTTCTACTCGTTCACACTCTTCTGCATAATCCTACCCATGACCATGTTCATACCCGAAGCAACCCTCCCCTCGTGGGTCGTCTGCTACGTACCCGTAACAATGTCGTTTCTAAGCTTACTCCCCGCTCCGAAATCGTTCCCCTTCATAGTCCCGTACCTTCTCTTCGAAAACACAATGTCCGTCACTAAATTCAACGCCATGATTTCCGGCCTATTCCAATTAGGAAGCGCCTACGAGTGGGTCGTGACAAAAAAATCCGGAAGGTCCTCAGAGGGCGACCTGGCGTCGTTGGTCGAGAAGCCGACGCGCGGCGGGACCCACCAGAGGGGCGGGTCGGAGCCGAATTTGGAGGAGGTTAAGTTGCTGATGGAGAAAGAATTGGCTAAGGAGAAGACGAAGAAGAAGCATAATCGGATTTATACGAAGGAGTTGGCTTTGGCTTTCTTGCTTCTGACTGCTGCTGTGAGGAGTCTTTTGTCGGCGCAGGGTATACATTTTTACTTCCTGCTGTTTCAGGGGATTTCGTTCTTGCTCGTTGGCTTGGATTTGATCGGTGAACAGGTGGAGTGATTAGTTTTTTTTTTATAATAGGTTTGTTAATTAATTAGGGGCGATTTGAACGGGGGGTTTCGAAAACTCCGTTTTTGGAATATGTTAATAGATGGGTTTAGGCGAAAACGGAAACGGAAAAGCACGGTTATTGATAAAGAGGAAAAAAAACGACGCGTCGTGTTTTTTTTCCAGAATATGGCACCTTCAGCAAAGAATGGTGATGATGATGATGTTCATTATTACTACATATTGTTTTTAGTTTTATTTTATTTTATTTTATTTTTTTATTTTTATTCTTTTGTAAGAAAAATGGGTTTGGTGAAAATTCCAACGAAGAGTTTATATTCAATTTATTCATAGCCGACAGTGTAGGAGTTTTTGCTTTATAGTAATCTAGAGAAATCGAAAAATATAAAGGGGTTATTTTTGTCAAATAATAATATTTTTCTTCTAAAATTAATGTTATTTGGTGTTTGAAAAAGCTTTTGAAAAGTGATACTAAGCTTTTCTGGGCTCATATTCACTTTTGGAACTTTTGCAATACCAGCATTTGTTTCTATTTTTTTTTTTTTTAAATAAGCTGCGTTAAACTAAAATATAAAAATCACCATTGTACCAACTAGTTCTAAATAAGTTGCTCGAAATTAATTTTTCATGAAATTTATTAACACACTCAACTTTTAGAAATAAACATTTACACTAACTTAACTCATTTTTATCACCAATTTCATTTCTTTTTTCCCAACAAACATCACCTTAAAAAAAATGTAGGGGATATATTCATAAAAAAAATATAAAATAATAATTTGGTGTATGTAATTGCAGCATTTCCAATATGGAAGGTGACGTGGCCACGTGGTGGTGGTTAGATGGTTAGATCTGATGAATAAGGTAGTGAAGGAGAGAGATAATAGTAGTATCATATTCATATTAATAAGATTTATGACTCGTGGCCCTTGTTTTTATTCAATTTCCAAACCAACCATTAACTTCAATTCGTGTCGGTGCTCAATTCTCCAATTAAACAATGTATTATTAGCAACTAATTACTACTGTACACTATACAAAATTTGAGGGCTACCACCATTTTTTAAAAGTCAACATTTTTTTTGTTTCTTTACTCTCTCTCTCTCTCACACACACACACACACACACACAAATAGAAAATGCTATTTTAAGTTAACGGTTATTTCGATTCAACGGTAAAGCAAATTTTCAAGTTGTGAAACATGTGGGATATGACATTTGTCGGGAACTGAGTTTCTTCAAGAAATGAGTGCTGGAAAAAACTCATACCCCCACCTATTAATTGACAGCCTAACCAAATGAGGCCCACACACACACACACACTTGTTTATTTGGATGTCACCACCACAACTATATTTTATATGTATATACTCTTTATATATGTATGCAATACTTTAGAGAAAATTAAATATTTTCTCTGCAAATAAATTGATTGTGATGTCAACATAATTGATTTACTAAGTTTCTTACATCCTCAAATTTGAAGAAGTTTGGTCTAGCATTATATCATTTGGAAAAGTCTCCTAGATTGTGTTTTGCTAGTTTGGGATTTATTGGATTTTGGGCCGAATTGATTTTATATCCGGTTCATTAATTCAATTTCCCCTGAGGCTGTCCCGACAATAAGCCCAACATCACAAAAAAAGATTATCGTAATGTTTGGAAGTGTTTTGGATCTTATTTTGATTTCATTTTGAGGAAATATGTTTTGGGGAAATAATTTGAGAATGAAAGTAATGTTTGTTTATATTTTGGAAGAAGACAAAATACACTGTAGCAGTCAAATCATGTTTAAAGGTGCTAGAAAAAAAAAATATTTTTGAAGAAAAAAATTGAAAGATGAAGTGATGTTTATTTGTTTTTAGTGAAGACATTTTTTACTGTAGCACTCAAATTATTTTACTGTAGCAGTCACATCATATCTGAATGAGAGAGAAACTTTTGAAATTGTTTTGAGAAAATGATTTGAAAAGGGTAATAAATCCCATTTTGTTTTGGGGAAACAATGAAAACAAAAAAAAAATGCATCCAAACATAGCCTATGTGATCGCGGTCGAACCTTGAGAATTGACGCCATGCATTCGACGTAGTTAGCCTCCGCCTCTCTCCCACATTGTAATCTCTGATTTTTCTTCTTCTCTCTCTTCTGGTCGTACTGTCCCATTGAATGCACCTTGGCATTTTTCGGCGACACGCCCGTTTGTCTATGACGGTGGTTGTACTGTTCTGTTACCCAGTTTAGAGACAACTTCTATTTTCCATCTATATTAGTAAATCACCTCGTGAGAGAGGGAGATACAGAATACACATGCAATGTGACTCTCTTCTAAGTTTTAAGTATCACCTCTTTGGTGTGCAAGTAAGATAAAACCACTCCCAGCGGTTTATTTTTGTTTATTATATATGAATTATCTACAAAATAAGATTCATGTGACATATGATACATTTTGCTTTTTGGCAAGGATAATATATTTTTTGGTTAGTTCAAAATTATGAATATACAGCTCATATGATAGAAGACAAGATTGAAAATGAAGCTATAAATGTTGCCTTGAGTGTTGAGACACAACAACATGAGCATGTACCTTTCGAATAAATGAGGTTGTCCACACTAATACACTATCTTCATTTATTCTTATCTTATTTAATGTTATTCTTTCCTTATTTACATTACAAATTATTTCAGAAAAATAATAAAAATCGAAATGGGTGAAATAAATTTATTTAAGATATGTATTCATTAAATTGAAAATCAATTACGGGCCATAATATTTGAAAAAATCATTATACGGCCCGGCCCATAAAAGCAATTGATTAACCCAAAGTGTAATGGGCTTTGAGTAGCCCACTTTGGTCATTCAAAACGAAAAAGAGAAGGCAAGTTGCAACCAATCCCCTGAGGTAAGATCTACTTACGAAAGAACCCATCATGTTTTCATAATTACATTCACCTCCCTGCAATTTGTATATTTCTTACATCAAACCTTTTGTAGGGGGTGGATGTAAGAAATTTACAAATTGCAGGGGCTGGATGTAATTTCTATACAATAAGGGGTTTTCTGTAATTACACTTTACCTCAGGGGTGGTTGTAATTTACCAAACCTGGCAAAGCTATTATATAGAAGCAAGCAATCTCCAGCAAATTGTATTCTCAGTCAATAAATAAATATACATACATATCTCTCTGTGAATCTAAACAGCAATTTTTTTTTCTTCTGCTAAAACTTCGAAGAACAAAGAGTTAAGAATCTTTCGAACCCTATACAAAACTAAGACAAAATAAAGACAACCTCAAACAATTTCTTTAATTCTCCCACCTGATTAATGCTACAATTTTTTTCGATTAGATCGCGAAACAGCTATTTCCAAACTCTTCCTAAAAAAATTTAAATAAATAAAAAACCTCACGGCTCCGTTTTCGACAACCCTGGAAAAGAAAAAAATGATCATACGGTGAGATGGGATTAAATAAAGAAGAGAGTGTAATGATTATTGTAAGTAGTTCCAAGCAAAATTACCGTTTGCCCCCAAACCGGTACCAGTGGGGCTAGGGTCGAATCCCATTTGTAATATACTTTGAAGATCACTGTTCCATAAGTTCTAAAGGACAACATCGTAAATTTATGTCAGAATTCGGACAAGCCAAAACCTTATACATAAAGCCAGACAGATCTTTATTTTACCGGAGGCAAAGGATGAAATGGTGGAGGTGGGCCCGCGTAGCCGTTTAGAAGCCCTGGAAAAGCATGAGACGGGCTGAATCCCGGGCCTACTCCGAGTTCAGTTGCATTGCCACCTCGTGTATGAAGAAGCTATAATAAAAATATACTAAGTAAAATTCGAGATGAAATTAATCAAATGGAAGCAATCTTTAGAAATTCAATTTCATCGTACATCTTTAGACAAAATCCGGTCGATATCCACGTTGAGCTCTGGATTTACAGTAGCAAGCTTCATTGACAGAAACTGCATTCAAGAAAATGAACTCTTTGTTTGTTAGTAAAATATTCGACTTTTTTTTTTCAATCAAATGGGATTTTTTTTCGACTAATTTGTCTAAAAATGCACACCTCAACTTGCTGTTGTAGCGATTGCACATAGTTGATAATCTCATCAAGCATCACCGCTTTCCCAGTAATCTTGAAATAATAAAAGAAATGCTAAAACTCAGTACTGAATAAATATCCGCTAAAAACCGATCGAGAACGACAAAAGTTATTTCTTTCTAATTATACCTTATTACAGCCAGGAACCAGTTCTTGCAATAATCTCATCCTCTCACTAATCCTCTCTCTTCTAACCTGTAACATTAGCACAATTATATGCCTTAATTACCATACAAACTGCGAATTGAGATTTGAAAAAATCGAGAGATTTATTTACCCTTTCTGCAAGGCTGTGACTGTTAGTAGCCTGGCCCCTTTTGGCTCTAACAAGAATGTAATCTTCTTTAGAAGGTTCCGCGCCATTAGAGCCGTCCTTCGCTTGTTTAACTCCTTGCTTAGTGCCGGTGTTTTTCTTTTCATCTTCTTTAGGAAATTCGCACGTGTTTCCCGTTTTTTGATTCTTTAGCTTCTCTTCTTCAACATTCTATAATCGATAAGATTAAAACCAAACTAGATTAGATTACATGTGAAAGAGTTATAGGAATGAAAGTTTAAGTAAGTAAAGGGTTTTTATCTTAACCTTATTACAAGAACCTCCAACTGATGGTGACACCTTCCTTTTCCTCTTTCCATTAAGTGAAGCTCCAAATAAACCATCTTCCAAATTTGAGTGACAACCCGATTCGTTGATTTGTCCGAATGAGCTATTAGCCATTTCGGAGAAACTTCCGCTCCCAAAACTTGGGATTTTCGGTACCATATCAAGAACTAAACCTAAATCAGATGTGTAATGAGCCAAATGGGAAGAGTTCCCCACTAGATAATGTGGATTAACAAACTCATTTTGTGGAATAATCGAGGAATTTCCAAGATTATCGGAAATCATAGGATCCCAACAAGAACCGTGGAAATGGTCTACTAAGAAGGATTCTGACATTCCTGCAACATTTTCGGACATCGAATCTGAAGAACCCATAATTCGAGATATTGAATCTCTTTGTCCAATTTCTTCGGAACCCATTACGAAGACGAAAACCAGAAGAAAAACCCAGGATTTTGAACACCCAAATTCTGAGTTTTTACAACAGAAAGAACACTATTTAACTAAAGGTCAAAAAAAAATTTAAAAAAAAAAAGTGATCTTTGACCAAAAAATGGTGGTAAATGGTAATATCTTGCAAGACTGAACAAGGAACAAATAATCAAGGAAGGCTTTATAGTAATATATCACACAGAGGGAAGTTAAAGAAAGCAAAAGAAATCCCTCAATTGCAGCATCCTAAGCCAAAAGGGGGAAAAAGGTGAAATCCAATGTACAAAGCATAATATCTGCAAGAACCCTAGGATCAATTCCGAGTATGATATGGAAAAAAGTGATTCCCCCCTCAAGACAAAGAAAATAAGAATCTTTCAGAACTTAAAGTAGACAATGGAGAAGTGAAGGGGAGATTGTCTGAGCAACAGCTCAACCACAGTAGAGAAATCAAAAAGCAGATTCCCTTTTGGTTTCTCTTTTGTTTGGTACAAGTATAGCTCTGGAAACAAGTTTACACACTGATCTGTGTGGAGTGATTTAACTCTTAATTACAGCAAAATTAAGCCCTAAACCCCAGTAATTAAACATGAACAGAACAGAGCCTCGTAACAACAACCATAATATCCTACAAGAATCCTAGGATACTCAAATTATAGGGACCCTTTTGTGATATGCTCAATATGGGCAACTGAAATCCAGCAGAAGGCACAAAATTCCCACTTGGGACTTTTCACAAACAGGTTGTGGGCAGAACTTTCAGAACTTGTTTAGACAGCTAATGTTGAGCTTATCAGAACCCTTAACAGCATCATATGCTTGCTTAAATTCTACAATTAAAAAAAATAACAGAGAAATCAGAAAGAAGGCATCAAAATTTCTCACTTTATAACTATACTGCTGCAAAAATGTGCATTAGGGGTATTTCAATGACACCATATAAAGAGTGATCATATATATATATATATATATTAATAATTAATTAATAAAAAATAAAAAATAAAGAAGGAAAAAAAGAAAAGCTCGCCCCTTTTACCTGCCCAAGTTAACAGGCATATATGATTTTTAAAAACCAGAGACTAACTACTGCCAACTGCTCTTGCAGGTTTAATTATTACACAAAACCTAATCTTTAAACTTTCCTTTCCTTTTTATTTTTATTTTATTTTTTGGGTTCCGAAAACAATTAAATAATATAAATGTTTTTTTTAATAATCTCATCATGGATGGGAGATGATGTTCTTCTCTTGAACCCCAAGCTTTCTTGAAATCTTTATTTACTTATTTTTTAATTTACTGACACATTTGCCAACTATTCTCATACACTCCTCTTTGCTGTTGCACACTCAAAAAAAAAAATTCTGCAGTGCCAACTAATTAATTACCTAACAATCATGGCCCTCCAAATAAATCACCTTAATTTAAATCATATTTAATTGATTTTTAAAATCAATAAATATAATTTTGAGCATTAATAAAATGGTTGATCTTATACTCCATGAGTTAATTAAATGACAACTGATACTGATTGGAGTTGGAATCTGATTCCATGTAATTAACTTCCAAGTTTGGTTTCTGTAAAAAAATAAATTAAAAATAGAATTGTCAGAGCAGTCCTTTTACTTTTTTACTATGAGACTTTTGGTCCTCAGAACACAAGGAATAATATATATGGAATCTCATTCACGTAATTTTTTCTTCATTGTCTTGCTACTGTTTCCAGCTGTAGCTGCTCTATACATATATATTATATTATATTTTATAAAGAATAAAACTACTACTACTGTAATTTTGGATTCTTTTTTTTCTTTTTTTTTTAAATAGATGAAATAAAGAAAGTAGAGATACAGTTGTAATTGGTCAAACCATAATTTTATGGTCAATAAATTATGAAGCTGTGATCTTGCTGGAAAATTCTGATTAGCTGTCAAAATTCTCAGTTATTCTTCAAGTTTAAAATATTAATTCAAAGTTTAATTAAAAAATTATCCAATTGAACTTGGTTTCGATTCATTTTAAGGTAATCACTACGTACGAGTATTTAATTTTGTGTATGTTTTGTTCGTTTTGATGATTAAATTGTTAAATTTTCATGTGGTGAACATCATTTTCTGTACTTTGAAATAGTTAATTAATTAAGATAATGTGATTAATAAATAGTAAACATAAATCAAATTAAGACCCACATCATCACGCCCAAGGCATGCAATGGGCTTTCTTTTTAAGTTTGTGGTCCTGCCTAACTTTCTAATTTTCATTATGGGTTTTTAACCTATTTCTTTTTTTTTTCTTAAATAATAAATTAATATGCAAATATACATAAGCTTCTTTTTTTATTGGGTAAATTACAATTACCCCTCTGAGATACGATTAAATTACGAAAACCCCCATCTTGTTTGGATAATTAAATCTACCCCTCAACTATGAATTTTCTTGCACATCCACCCTTATGGTGTCAAATTCAACATAATCATGTAGATTCCGTGGAATTTTCTCTAATTTGTACTCGTTTTATGCAAAAATACAGTTTTATGATGCACGACAATCTGATATGTACAAGTCAAAAAACACATCTTATCATCTTGCTTCAAAATGTGGAGGTCGAATGGGATAAACGGGTACATAATTGAGAAAATTCCATATAACCTAGAAGATTCCTCTAAATTTGAAACCGCAAGGGTGTGCGTGTAATAAGATTTATAGTTGAGAGGTGGTTGTAATTACCCAAACAAAAGAAGATTTTCGTAATTTGACTATATATCAGGGGTAGTCGAAATTTACCCTTTTTTATTTATTAAAATACAATAATCCTAAATTCCAAATTAACCGATGGAATCGAAGCATGCGCAGAACACAAGCAATCATTAATCGTGTTTCTTCAAAAACCCGCTTTTTAAGAATCTGAAAACCATGAACGCGACTACGCAGCGCGTATTGCTCACGTCAAAGCAATCATTTTAAGACCAATCCCACGTTTCCACATCGAAAAGTTTGTACAGATTTTTGCTTAATTCATAAAAATAAAAATGTACTATTGGTCGGGTATAATTATAATGCTTTGTCGGGGGTATGCCTCTGTAGTTTCAATTTTTTTTTTTAATATTATATTATAATTAGAGGCAATTTCATTATTCATACTTACTAGTTTGATGGTAAAATAGTAGTTTCATGGATAATAGTGAGAATATTCGTAATCTATAAATACAAGAAGAGTTCATTTTGTAATTTTGGTATCATCAATTCAAAACCGTGAAGTAATTATTAATATAAACAGATATTTTCTATTTTTTTAACATAAAATAAAAGACTGATAAATGAGCAATCAGCCCATATAAAATTAATTACTTTTGATAAATGGCCCAATAAGAAAGTTTAATGCCACGAAGGCCCATTGGACACTGCCCAGCCCAACTGTGTGAAAGATAAATAAATGAACAAAAAAGAACAATAATTAATTTAACATGGGCTTATTCTATGTTACTTTGTATATTCTATATTCACTAAAAAATAGTTTTTTTTTTGTCGATAAAATGAAACAATTTCAAAATTTGAAATTATATAAAATACATCGTCTTCTGAAACTAATTCATCGTTTATTTTAGCAATAATCATTTTCTAATATGTATCGTTATAGGAAAAAAACTATCTTTGTTCTCTTCAGATAGTGGAATAACTAATAATTTTATTGGATAATAACATTTAACTGCGATTTTGAATCTTGTCAATCGAAAACATCAGGTACCAACTTCTATTTGATTAATAAGATGCAATTAATAGTAGCAATGTTTGAATATTTTCTTGATTAAAGCTTTCAATCATTGTAACACACTACACAAACTTTAATTTTGTGTAATAATCCAAGTGTTCGTTAATCTTGACTAAGCTTACACTTTGAAAATATTCTCAAATGATTATGTTTTAACTTTTACAAATAATAATTATTGACGGAATATCAATCTTTAATTAAATATTCTTTCTAGTATTTTCCAGTGTGAGCTGTGGATGCTTTTGAGTTTTGACTATTATCACTCAACACAACCATGTAACATGAAATTGTAGTCGCATAATCGTCGTCATAGAATTTTTTTAATGCATTCGATCTCTCGAACTTAAATTTCTCGCTCAGCAAGTGATAATATGTTAGCACTTAGAAACAAAAATGGGTGGGCATTGCCCTTTTTTTTTCTTTTTTTTTTTTTTCTGTTAATCAATACTTTTTGACTAATAATGATTACTGATGCTGCTCCAAAAATGATGGGTCAGCCCAATGGTTTTGAAGCCCACAGGTCTTCTAAGTCCGGGAATCTTCAAGCCCAATATCGGGAATGCCGAGAGTCCTTGCCACGCGTCCGAGGTAGTCGAAGGGATCGCTCCACTCGTTAACCTACAAAACAGTTGAAAACACTAGGTGACACGCCGGGGGTGGCCCGGCGATTGTCCTCCGACGCTCAAGTCAGAAAACTATCACAATATAAGCAAATAATATTAGTTAATTGCCTAAATAGTGCTTACCTTATTATATGAGTTAAATCACATATTTATAGGTGATGAAATATGGAGACTTCTTGTAGAAATCCGATGTGGGACAATATGTTATAACTAAAATCCTATTGAATTTTAGTAGATGTGATAATTGGGCTTTTATTATTAATTGGATTGATTTGGCCTTTTAGGCCAAAAACCCAATTAAGAATTAGGCACATCATTAAGCCCCCCACTCCCATGTAGGGCCACAGGCACGTGGGCCTGGTTGGGAGTAACTTAGGAACAGTCGTTCTTTAGCGGGGCAAAATCCCTTGGCTTTATTGCCTAGTGGGAAGCACGCATTTCGTAAAGAATGAGTTATGCTTCATCTTTTCCGGTGAGACGGTATCCCTTGGTTATATAGCCTAGTGGGAGGCTCGGCTCTCGTAAAGAATAAGCTTTTACTTTATCTTTTTAGGTAAGACGGTATCCGTTGGCTTTAACGCCTAGTGGGAAGTCCGTATTTTTGTAAAGAATGAGTTATGCTTCATCTTTTTCGGTGAGACGGTATCCCTTAGTTATATAGCCTAGTGGGAGGCTCGACTCTCGTAAAGAATAAGCTTTTACTATATCTTTTTAAGTAAGACGGTATCCCTTGGCTTTAACGCCTAGTGGGAAGTCCGTATTTGTACACTTGGTGGTTGATCAGACCCTCAAGTTTTTCATGTAGGAAGTCTGCCCGTTTACCTAAGTTTTGAAGGGCGGGTAAGACTCCCCGGAGCTTTAATTGCTCTATTTTTTGGAGCTTTGGGGAGTGAGAAAACAAGGTTCGGGTTGGCCAGACCCTTTGTGATCCTTGATATATTTTCCTTTAGCTATTTTTTGAGTCTATTGACTTTTTGTTAAATCTATTGTAGATGTCTTGAACGAAAACGCGTAGAGAAGACAAATTGTTGATGTAGAAATCACGGTGGCGATATCCCACCGACTAAAATATTTTATTAAGAATCATGCGACTGGCGGTATGCCTTGAAAATATTGTGCGGGGCGGTATGCCACCGACTTATTGCTGAAAATAAATTACATGGGGCCCGCATGGGGCAATAGTAAATACTAAGTAAAGTATTTGTTCAGGATTGCGATTGTTCTAGGAATTCTCTCAAGTGCCCGTTTTGGACAAGTCTCCCGAGCGCTCGCATAAGCTGAAAACACTCATCAATAGTGTGACCTCGAGCTCTGTGGTATTCACAGTAGTTATCCGACTTTTGTCGTTCTGGATTCTCATTCCTCCTTTTCGGTGGTTGAAGAATACCCTTCTGCTCAGCGATGATCATCATGTCAAGAAGTTTATCCTTGAGGTGAGAACTTCCCGAAGGTGCGATTTTCGATGTCTCTCTTCTTCTCTATTATAGTTGTGGCTTTCCACGTCGCGCTTTCGTTTAAGGGGTACTCTCATCTCCGTGATCTCCTCAATCCGTATGTACTTCCCAGCGCGGTTCAAGATCTCCTCCAGGGTCTTAGGGGGTCGGCCCGCGATGGACTCTCGAAAACGAACATGCTTCAAATTTTGTTGTAGTATGCCGGCTAACATCTCGTGAGTAACGTGGCGCACTTCATGTACTGCTTTGACAAATCGTTGTATGTAATCTCTGAGTGGCTCTCCGTCTCGTTATATGACCTTGAAGAGATACGATCCAGTTTTGGCATATTTCTTATTCATTGAGTCGTGGTTAAGGAAATGTGTCGCTAG